GATCACAACTTATGATTTTATTCATCAAAGAATATTTGCGGTTTATTTAATGGTTTAAAACGAAATTTTTGGACTGTATTTTTGGGATGTTTCAACATCACCTCATATCCCCCTTTAAACACGGCAGGAAGCATCCACAAATCCCACCATTTTCCATTCTACTTTCCATTAACTTTCTTTTCTCTCAAGAGTCAAGACCAAACAATCATCCAAGTTTCAAAGCCCCAAGCAATTATCCTTAGATTTTTGGTAAGTATTCCTTCAAGTCTAGTGGATTTATACATTTTTATGTTAGTTTCATTAGATTTACACACATATTATTATGTGTTAAACCCTTAGGATAACAACAACTCCAAGAAGTTCATCAATTCCATCCAAGTGTTTAGGCTTGGAATCTTCTCAACATCTCCTCAAACAACCCACAAATTCACCCAAGGTGGGTTCATACCCCAATCTTTTCGAGATTTTTCATGTTTTAGGGGGGAGAATACAAGTCCAAATTTGGTTTATTACATAAATACTTGCATGTTCTTCTTTATGTTGAAGTATAAGCAATTGTTTATTCAAGATATGATTTTCACTAGTTTTATACAAATATTTGTGATATATTAGTTTTGATATACAAAAGAAAACTTATTAGGTGTTATAAAATCATAAGGAAAAGTATGATTGTAAAACTACAAGGTTTTGGAAACTTTTACTAAAAGATAGTCTTTCTAAACAAAAATGGTTACATCATAGTTATTTACTATTTTGGTGGGTTACAACCCGAAGATATCATGTTTTGATTACATATTTTGATACTAGACAAGATAACAACTTTATATTTATATAAAAGATTATATAAACAGTCTCAACAAACGAACAAGATAAACTATAATTGGTATAGTTTGGAAGTCACAAAACCATACGATCATTTCAGAAGGAACATATCATTATTCAAAGGTATAATTATTTTATTTTACAAGAAAAATGAGTCATAGTTCGCGTAAATCCTTTGATGCTCTTGTGAGACATTTTGCTTCACCGTACCTACCTAGTGTACACCTTAAGTCTTGTATTATAACCAGAGTCTCCTTGAGGGAGAGCGAGATTGTTGTGTATAGATCTATATGGGATTGACAACCCCGCACTTCAGTTGTTCACTACAGTTAGACCGGCAAGTCTAAGGTGACAAATGTATACCAGCTCCGACGCCTGAAGAACGTCGTACAGGCTACTCGGCGTATTAGTATGGTTATAATAACTCACATAGGGATTAACAAACCGTTTGGTTTACGGGGTAACTTACACTTCATCAGTTTCACAAAAAGATAAAAACTATATACTATTTTTCAGTACAGCATTACTTACATTTTTGTCTTGGAGTTTTAAGACTACAGATCACATTTAAGAAAATATTGGATTTTCTGGAAACATGCGTTATCATTTTACAAGGAAATACATACATTTTAGTCTTGGGTATAAGACTTACAACTTGTTTTTAAAGAAAATATCGGACTTTCTGGAAGTATACAAAGTCATTTTACACGAAACAGTTACAAATCCTTTTCATACATAAATGTTTATGAACTCACCAACTTAATTGTTGACACTTTTCAAAATCACTTGTATTCTCAGGAAATCAGTAAACAGGTATCCAAAACATTTTGAGGGTCGGCATCGCTGCATCATGTTTTCTACAATTCAGTTATTTGTACTTAACTTTTGAGCAAACACGGTTTGTAAACAATGTAAACTTGTAATCTCAATGTATGATGTTTGTGTTGCTATGTTTCATTTATATTCAATTGTTATGATATTGCACATGAAGTCACTCCATCCGCCCTCAGACGTTTCCGCCGTTCCGGTTTGGGGGTGTGACAATTAGATCTTTAGTTTCATAGTATGCTGCTATAATGAGAAAATGTCATAGATCTCTAGGTTGCATGTACCCAAAAATAATTTTATTTTGCTACGAAATTTTTTGTTTTGTAATCTAGAAAACCCATCAATAATAGCAACCACATCAAATTATTATTATTTTTATTTTTATTAATTGTATATCGGCCCTCATTATTTCTTTGTTATCTTTGTCGTTACTGCTCTATAATAAATTGTTGAATTAGGTACACAGAAACCGTTAGATAATAAATACTCATAATAAATAGTATCTCAAGTCAAACACCTTGTTTTTAAAAAGATAATAATATAATTAGACAAAATGATAATCCTAAAATATAAAATGCTAATCCACCTTGTTAACCATATCATTATGTTCATTGTTGGTGATTTTAATGTCATCGGGTCATTTTACGTTATTGAAATTTATACTAGTTTTAAAGGGAATCTGGCCTATAATATGATACAAGTCATGTGGTACTGTGTGTACACTTGTTCCGAACATGTCGAATGGTAGGGATCAGTGGGCAACATTCATTGCAAGCTTAGGGGACCCCATAACCTAAGTAGATCTTTGGACTATAAGTAGGGATGAGCGTGGTACATAACTGGTACTGACCCAATAATATCGAGTACCAAAATAGGTGAAAAAATGATACAAAGTACCAAACCAAATTAACTTTACAGGTAACAATACCGGGTATTGTACCGATTTTCGATATGTGCACCGGTGTCGATGGTACCAAATCCTAAATTGCTCAATTTCAAAGTACCGAGTACTCTCCCAGATCCTAAATTTCTCAATTTCAAAAGTTTGGTTACCTTTTGAACTTCTAAACGTCATATATGGGCATTTATTTAATTTTTGAACTCGTGAAGTTGGGGAACCTTATAAAAATATCAAAAGGTGGTGTTTGTGATTTTATTGTCACATGAACTCTTAATGTAAATGGAATTTATACTAATGTCAAATGAGATTATGATTTAATACTAGTTATTCAAGTACCGAAATGGACTAAAACTATAACCTAGTGCAAGCTAGGTAGTGCATAATGGACCCTTGTATAAGGTGAGTTTGATCCCAAACACGAAAAGTGACATAGGTTAAGAGGCATCACCTTGAAACCTAAAAAAAATTGTGAGCAGTTTTTCCAGAACGACAATTTTTTCAAGAAATTACTCCTTATCTGCCAAATCCGCTATGTTCATGACGTTCGTACACAACTCATTAATCAAAAAGTATCCATAAATAATTATACTTTACAGATCCTTAATAAATCCATAGATTATATTAATAATCGAACCAACAATGTTTCATACCCAGTTTCTAATAAGCGAGGCACATCCTGGAGGGCCCCTTGATGAATTTAGAATTGTTGATTCTTGATGACTAATAATTGTTCTTAACTTATAAAAACCATTATCTCGTTATCTTTGTTTGGTTTTTTTTGGTATTGTTATTATATATATAATAATTATATACCTATTTTTTGTTCTTCTTAGTCTTTGAGTTCTCCATACACATTTCTAGTTCGAAGGATTTGTCATTTTTGCACAAATTTGAAATGTCATTAGTTTGGATTTATCCTAAATACAAAGTTTGTGACACTCGGACATTGGTAGGTCGAATTATTATACAAGGACGGTGAATTTACACAAAGTAGAACCGTTCTAACGGTATGATGAGACGCCTCCCTCTAGATTGAAGGTTCAAATCAGTAGAACAATTTTATTTTAAAATACTTGTTTTCCTTAACAAAAGTTGTTGACTATTATGTAAAATTAAACCTAATTAAAGTTATCAATTTTGGGTAAACCACATTAACAACCATAAAAGGACATAAACATAGAGAATTATATATTTTCAACTATTTGATTTTTTCTATATATTTTACCAAAAGGGAAATAAACTTTGATATAGATCGTTCATGACTCAAAGAAAACACTCTAAATTATATTCATGAATAATTAATCTTAATTTTGGAATATGTCATCTTTTTCACTTTTTGTGTTTTGGACGACATTATCAAAATATGACATATCACACTAACAATTATCAACAGAAGTAAGACTAGTGGATGCACCATAACGTCTTCAACCCATATCACAACAACAGTTATCATCATCAGTGATATCAATATCTGCAACGCAAACTTGTAAATACATAATAGCATTAAAGATGTCATCACAAATAACAAAAGCAGAAGCATCATGCAGTCTAGCTCTTGCTTGTTGATCCCTACCCCGACCATGATGTTTGCAAATTCAACCAATTTTGACAATCGACCAAAGAAAGTCTTTATGTAATATTTAAATTGTTGAACAACCAATCTCATGACTTTAGAACTATGTTGCCTATCTTAAAATGCAAATGGGTATTTATAGTTGAATTTCTCGAATTTATTTGAAAAGTATTCATTGTACATTGTAATATTGCATTAAAAATAAAAAATTAATTGAAAATATAATTTATAAAATATTATTTTCATTTATTACAACCGGCACAATTGAATTCAAAATTGCTTTTTGGGAGTAAATGCACAAAAATCCATGTATATCCATAATCTTATTATATAAAAACAAATATATTTTTTATAATACTCCTTCCGTCCCAAAATTATAGTCCATCTTTCTTTTTTGATTTGTCCTAAAATAATAATCCACTTCTAAAAATAAATAACATTTTTACTAAAATATCCTCTCATTATTACTTAATCAACTAAGCATTTAATGGAATATTAAATGCAAATAAGAACAAAGCTATCATTTTATTATATAAAGTTAATGATAAATAATGCTACCTGTATGTTTTTTGTTTGTGGACAACCATTTGAAACGGAGAGTTTTCCATGTTTGTTGAAATCCTATTAATTATTGGTTGGTTTTATTCACATACTTTTTTAAAAGACAGGGACAATTTTGTAAAATGACAAGTACATTTTGCAATATTTGAATCGATTAACAAGCCAAATTTTTTTTCTTTTTTTATCATTTAAAAAAAATGATAAAAAATGTAAAAAATCGGAACTTAAAAAGAAAACTTGGCTTTCCAGACTTTATTAAATTGTTATTTCTGAATTAAATATTAAAAAAAAAAAAAAAAAAAAAAAAAAAAAAAAAGTTGCATTAGTAAGTACATTAAGAGGCCTTACAAATTATAGAAATAAAAAAACTTACAATAACAATAGCAAAAGAAAAGAAGAAAAAGACTATTATGCCCCTAACCACTAAATATTAAATATGCTAATGCTAATGTCTTCTCTCCCATTTCCCTTCACGCCTACCGTCTCGTTCTCTCCGCTCCATCACCTGCCTTGACTTGTTTCCCCTTGAAGCATTCCGTTGACCAGACCCAAAATTACCAGATTGCCCCTCCAATGCCATCATTACATCCGCTTCACCAACACTCCCTGTATCTCCCGAATCCCTGCTCCCATCAAAGTTTTCTTCATAGCTACTGCCACCATCATCTTGGCGGTCACGCAGTTGTAGCAAAGTCGGCGGTTGGCCCGAAAATTGCCGCCCCCCTGACAGGACAATGGTCGGATTCGTGAAATCAGGCGGCAAACCACCACCACTACCACCGCTTCCGCCACTTGTTCTCAAGTTGCCTTCATTTGTTGATCTTCCATTATCCCTTTCACGATATCTCTCTCGAGGCCGACTGCATATAGGATCAATTAGAAACTGATTAATGTTTTTATTTATAGAATTAATATTATATAAATACATATTTAAAAAATAAAAAAAACAAAATATAAAATACATAATAACATATTACATACCTACTAGGACCAGAGGAATATTCCCTTCGTGATTGTGATCGGGATTCTGCCTGTTCTAGCTCCCGTTGGAGTTCTCTCTACAAGATAACAAGGGGTAAACGTGTTAAACTACAATAACCCAGGGGTGGTTTGTGGAAATATATTGATATGATGTTACTTGTGTTTTCTTTTCTTTCTCCATATCAAGATTGTGTTGAAGTTCCCTAGTTTTTGCACGTTCAATTGCAAGCAACTTTTGTCTCTCAATCTCCTTTTCTGTTTCGGCTGCCTTTTCCCTATCACAAATTTAAGATTCTTCATAAATGAAATGGGCTAAATGGGAGAAATAGCAACCTACTTTCATCCATTTGTTTATCATATTCATATATGATAAGAAGAGATGAAAGTAGGATGCTATAATGAAAAATGAAGAAGAGATGAAACCTATCAAGTTCCTGAAGGAGCTCTGCTTCATGGAAAGCTGTCTCCTCTAAGTACTTTTGGCGTGCACGTCTTATCACCAATTTCTTCTGTCTGCGTGCTACAATTTCTTCTTTAAGCTTAGCCTTTTCCCTATTCAATATTAATAAATAAATAAATAAATAAATTATCTCCTCGAAGATTTATAGTGATGTGGAAGATTATTGATTAGGATTAAAGAGAAAAATGAAATAGAAAAGAAAATAATAGTTTTAGAGAAGAGTGCATACAGAGACTGAATGTGATCCTTAATTTTTTGAAGACGTTTATCTTCCTTCTCATAATCTGGATTTAAACAAAGTGGCATGAGAAATATCATCACATGGAGATTAATTATAAATTCATAAATTCAAAAAAAAAAAAAAAAAAAAAGAATGTTACTGGCTAGAAAAGGAAGCTTTCTCCAATCTGTGACATCATTAGATGACTCCTCAACAGACTGCTCTTTCTGTATTAGATCCATTTCAATTTCAGCCTCTTCAATTTCCTGCCACACGTCATTCAATACCTCTTATTATTTTTTATTTTTTTTTCTAAAACGATGCAAATATTGTAATGTTAGAACTTACCATAAGTTTTTCATCGGTTTTTTTCGAAAAGAAATCAAAGTATGATTGTACAGAAGTCAAATTTGCAAGGACCTGTCACATAAATTATAGATCAAATATAGTTAATCTTGATATGCGTTTTTCAAAGGGTATTATAGTCAATGAAAAGGTGTTGCTTACCTGAAGAAGTGTCTCACGCGTACTTTCAAAATCAGAGTCTCCTTTTTTTGAAAAATCTGAAGTCAGAACTCCCTTGAGAATCTTGATATGCAAAATTTTACATGTTAGAATAAGGCATTAATATACAAATGCACTTTTTTTAATTAAAAATATAACAAAAAGATTTTTTTTTGGTATATATAATCTTGGAAACACTTACCCCTTTGGCTTCATCCCCTTCACTTTTAAGCTTACACAAAGCTTCACAAGCAATTCGAACAATATCTTCACGCTTTCCTACATAAACACTTATAGAAAAATCAATGATATTTATAGATAATTATTTATATCTTTCCAATAAAGAAAATAAAAATATACCAGCTTCTGAAAGACCCAAAGTTTCAATATTTCTCCAAATACTTTGAGGAATCAGATGAACATCTTCAACAGGAGAATAGAGACAGATGTTCCCAATAAGAGCTAATGAAAGTTGCATAAAAGGTCCTTCACATGTCTGTTGACCAAGGTTGACCAAACACGGGAGAAAACTATCAGCTGCACCAAGAACAGATTGTAACTGTAGTCTCTCAGCACACGGAACACATTTTACCAAAATAGCCATCGCACGTGTCCTCAAAACAGGTGACACATCAGATGAAGCTAGAACAACAATTCCATCCCATGTACTTGAAACAATAGAAGATAAAACTGACTCATCAGAGGGCAGTATCGTCATTTCACTCTCGGATTCCTGGCCCACCAGACTTCCCAAGTGTTTCAGTGCTATGAAACGTTGTTCTGGTTCAACGTGACTCATCATTGAAGAAAACAGATCAATTAAAGAAGCTTCACTGGAGTGAAGATTGTGGGCCCCACTAGAAAGTAATGATGACAACCATTTATCTGTTTGTAACCTCCATGAAACTTTTGGTGCATTGCATGAAAACATCTTTATTGCTGAACAAATAAGAGAAATTACTTTATCTGAATCATAAAAACAAGGTGTCTCAAGTATGCAATCAAGAATTTCAGATGCAATCTCCCAACAACTGTTTTTTTGTAGCACAAGAATCATTTCAGCAAGTTTTTCAAGACTGTTGTTCCATGAAAAGGTTGAATCTTTTTCTAACATGGATGATAGACATTTTGAGTACACAAAGCATTCTGCTGACGTGGCAGAGAGTTTTTTAGCAGGTTGATGATGGAGTTTCCAGCATAGCTCGATGGTGGGATTAAGTTTGGAGAGAAGAGTTTCTAGGGTTTTGGAGAATTCTGTTGTTTCTTCAACAGACAACTGATTAATGTCACTTGGCATTTCATCAAACACTTTGTATGCGTCTAACAGGAAACTTGAATGTGATTCAGATTTATCCTTATCATCACATGATTCACCATTCATTTTGAGAGGAATGACACCTAATACTTGTAGTCTCTTAACTAGCAAACTTTTGCAGCTTTCCATAACTGTTTGAAATGCAGAAAGATAGTCATGGAAAGAATTTGTCGACTCAAATGTAGCAAAATCAGCCCAAAACACAAGCGATTGTAATATCTCCTGTTTCCTTTTTACTGATAAATCAAGAAAAACAGAGGCCAAAACAAGAATTGTTGGAGCCCTGCTATATTGTTCATCAGGAGTAACTTGATTTCTTATGTTACTAAAAAGCTCATCAAAGCACAAAGATTCAAACTCAACACATGAACCACCTTCCTCCTTCGATGCCTTCTTTAAGGAATAAGAGATGATTGGCTTTAACAAACACAAAACCGAATCAAGAAACGCCACATCAGCATACGAGGTTTTACACAAGGACTGAAGCACTTGTACAACTCTAGGTATTTCAGGAACCATTGCTTCCATGTGTTCACTTACAATGGCTTCAAGAACATACAAAATGATTGCTTTTGCATTTTTTGCAAGGAACCCCTTAAATCTTCTAGAAGGTATGATGTCATCATCTTCTTTCAGTAAAGGCCATGAACATAACTCAGAAAACCAACACAACAAATCTGGTACAACACTAGAAGGAAGAACCCTCAGTTGAAATCCAACAGCCTCCAATATAATCTCCCCAAACGCTTTAAATTGTTTCTTCAAATTTGGAAAAAATTGACTAATTTCAGGGTAGATAACACGAAAAGACTGGTCAATTTGTTGACCAGAAACATCATCGATAACCGCAAGTTCATCGGTGAAAATAGACAACAAAGTTGTTAACTGAGTCAACTCAGAAGCAAGAACGAGTCTTTCCTTTTGATATTGTTTTGCATTACGTGAAACAGCCATCCATCCGATAAATCGAACTAAAGGAGATGAAGAAGAAGAGAAGGAAGATATTTTGTTCACCCAAGTTGAAGAAGGAACCAAATTACTAAATCGCCCCCCTTCATCACCTCCACTTGAAGCTACAACCAATCTTTGAAGAAGCATCCAGTGGCGTTCTACCTCATGTACCTTATTCAATTCCAATTCTAATGTGCCTTGATGACAATAAGATACAAGAAGATCATTTAAATACTCACAAGATTTTAATATGATTTCAATGATACGTTCAGGGGGACAATAAAGTTTAGTTGCTGAGTGTAAAAGAAACACCAAACTTTGTAAAAGAATTTCACGCATCGAGTGTTGTTCTTTAAGCAAAGAATTTATCAAAAACTTGCATAATAATTCTTGATTTTGTCGAACCAAAGTGATGGCATCCATGGATGATGTATCTGTTAGAGAAAACTGCATGACATCATCGTTTTCATCAGAGATTATTTTCTGATACTTGTGATCTAATTCAGCAGCTTCTAGAAGAACTTCAAGAACGATTTTGTCACGCTTTTTTTCAATACGCGCTATAGCTTCCAAATTACTTTCATTTTTCTCCAAAATTCTTCTGATTTCTGTGAAGTTATAGTTATGATGAGTCTTTATGATGTTGTCTTTGAAAGACATCAAAAAGAAGGGATTTACATAGCACTCTGCAGCCAATAACAGAGCATCTATAGAAGCATTATGGCTTTCAGAAGTAATCTCACTCTGTGAATGTAAATCAAAAGCCACACGTTTAAATTCAGAGGCCCATAACTCACAATCACTGTAACTCATAAGATGTAGACACTCTGTATGCAATTTAGAGTACTCAATAGCACTAAAACTTTCATCCTTTTTCATGGTTATTTTTTTATCGATCAAATGTTTCTCTTCTGAATTGGCATCAGAAACATGTGTAAGCACCATGTCCTTGAGTTCAGGTGGAGCAAAAAGAACGCTGACATCATCAAAAGTATCCTGCTTAGCTGTATCAGAAGTGTCTGTCTTTCCATCAACATCATCTTGAGAGGAAACATCTGGTGGTTGAGGGTCCATGGTTAGAGATGTGGGAGATTTTCCGAGGTCAATGTTGGGTGGTAATTGCATGTGAGGTTCCAAAATTGAGAGAAGTACACTGCAAGAGAAATAATGAAAGATGATGATTTTGTGAGTATGATAATTAACAAATAAAAGGTGGATTGGATTGGATTGGATTGGATTGGATCTTACATAGGAGCAACTGAACCTCGCCTCCATTCGGATTCCAATGATGGGAGAATGGCTGATTTTGTGACAGCTGTACGGATCACATTTAATGCCACATTGCAATTCTGTTCTTGATTATCATGAAAAACTGGAGATACATCTCCAAAGGGTATTGTGGTCTTTACTGGGGTTAGAGCTGGATCAAGGAAAGGCTCTAGAATTTCCAAAAGAAAGAGAATCTGATGCTTAACATCCTGAAAAAGAACAAATTGTATATATAATTAAAAGTAAGTTGAAAATCTACACAAACTAGATATAACATACCTTATATTTTGCCATTACACTGTCCATATGCCCAGATAATGTCAAAACAATGTACTTGAGAGCAGCACGTGAGTCGCCTATTGCATGACGACCACCCTAAAAACCAATCAGATATTTCAGATCATGTGTTTGGAAAATGGCCTCAAAGGATTCCCAACAAAGAAAATTAAATATACGTGGAAAACTCCAAAACCGGAGAAAAACCACGGGCCTCCAGAGAGAAAAATCCACTATATGCAGTAGACTTACATGGATTACACCTAAAAGGTCCTCAACAAGCTCCACAGCTAAATCCACCTGGAATTTTTTTCATGAAAAGGACGTGAGCTTTCTAGTTGAAATAAATTTAAAAATAATGTAATATGAATATGAGGTAACTTGATATTTTATCTTGCATGACCTTTGCGGTTACTTGACCTAACCATGGTCCAAGTACACCAGTACAGAGGTCAATGAGGACACATGCAGCCTTGGCCTGCAAACCATAGGTTAGGATAATATAATAATACAAATTATACAATATAAAGTGATATGGTAAAGTAAGTGAAAACAAAAATAAATAAATAATTATATAAAAAAAAACAGACATGTGATGGTGAAAAGGATGACAAGTAGCCAGCACATCCGTGAAGCAGTGGACGATACATTGGAGAAGTTGATGTCACCACAATCTGCAATTAAATTAAATGAAATAAATATTCCAATTTTGACATGATTTAAATCATTAAAAAAAGGAAAACCTGAGAGAGAGCATGTTGCACAAAGGGTTGTCTCCATGCAGTGAAACTGTCATCAACTTGACCCCAACTGTTAAAATTAGGACGAAGTGCTGAAACAAGTAAGAAAATATTAAAAATATAAAAATAAATAAATAAATCAGATGATAAGTGAAAATTAAAATGTTATTTGGAAATATTTACAGATAAATTTCTAGTAACAACCTGGCAATAAAGCTTGTATGAGTGGCAACGTGGGCCAGAATTCAGAACTGTTTCCAGCCAATTTGCTGCAAAGGAGAGGCTGTAACATAAATAAACTTATCAAAAATAGTAATAATAATATGTTTTAGTAAATTTTTTATTTTCTAAAAAAAAAAAAGTAACTTACTTGGGATGCACAAGCGAAAAGAACATGTAGAATTCCTTCTTCAACTGCCTTAATGTCTAGCAGTTGAAGATATTTAAAGTCCCAGTGATCATCAGTTACTACCCGAAACTCCTCTCCAAATAAGTCTGAATAATCTGTGGTTTGAGTAAGTGATTCAGAGCTTGTGGCTTTTTCAATAATTGCTGACATGGCATCGGAATCAGATGAAGGGATAGACACTTGTTGCATTGTGGTGGGATGTTCCACTTCAAGCTTCAGTAAAACTTTAGAAGCCTGAGATATAGAAGAATGTTTTTATTACCATTGTATAAGTAAGATCCAAGGGTATTTTTGTCATTTTTACCATATATAAATTTATTACCATTCTGCAAACAGCTCCTAGATGAGAATCTTTGTAAGCCTTTCTTAGCAATAAAAGGATTGCATCTGATCGGAAAACTGTGGAAGTGGAAGTGTGAGGGGAAGTGGATGTTGTGTTACGTGATCTCCTTGGCTGAGGGTAAAAAAGGAACATTGAAAATATTAGTCATCTGAAAGAGAGAACTTTCTAGTTTCTAGTTTCTAGTTTCTACATGTAGGGGCAATTTCGGGAAACTACCTCAAAATTAGAGGAAACTGTTAAAGCTGGTGATGGAAGACTGTTTTTAGATGCTTCGGTGTCCAATGTGTTGTTGCCTGCTGATTTGGCAGTTTCCCTGTAATGTTAGAATGAATGTGAATGTGGATTAAAATTATTACTATGGAAGTTTAAATTATCACATTTTATATATTTTATTGTAGCAATGTTGATATTGTTTGATGTTCTTTATATTATAAGTATAAATGTCTTCTCCCAACGGCATTGTATAAACTGGATTAAATTTTTGGATTGAAGTTATTTAATGCGCCTAATACATCCAAACATCCAGTGTGAAAGTGAAATCCATTTTCTTCGAATCTCAAATGCACTTTTTTTTATCAAAATACTTTTTTTTATTTATAAAAGAACATAATATGTTTTTAATTTATACAAAAAGAGTAATATTTTTTTAATTTTGCATTGTCTAACAAATTACAATTTCGTGTTGTAAGTTCTCAAACCTTATAGTGTATATCTGTTTATTCTTAACTAAGGTTAATAAATTTTGATTGTAATCAATACAAATTTTAATTTTTGTTTATTTAAAAAATTGATCAATAGCTTAAAAAAAAAACTAGTTCTATCTTCTAAGTCAAGTTGTAGTTATAAATGTTGAATTTTTAGAGAAATGAAAACATTTTCCAAGACTAAATGGAAAAAGATTTAGAGATTCAGGTTAATTTCATTATCAATTATATATATATATATATATATATATATATATATATATATATATATACACTCACACAATTTGCTAATGAATACATACCAAATAAATGAGTATGAAACAAGTGTGAAACTTGGTTACTATCTAGTGGCATTGTCCCTACTATTCATCTACAACTTTCCTCTAATAGCAAAGACATCGCTACATATGCTTCTATATTTGTTGATGTACAATTGTCTTCTAATGGAAAGTTCATAACCCACCTTAATTATTGATTGTGGAACAGCGTTACAACCATTTTTAAATAGTAACATTCACTTACTTCCCATACATTAAAACTAAACCACTTAATGAGGCCATTAAAAAGTTGGAAACAATAAAAATTACAAGCCTATACTGACCTCTCATTTAGTACATGAAGAATTGGGTAAAAGGGTCCCGCAAGCATAGCAAGAAACCTTAGAGTAGATTCTGGAGCCTCTGGAAAACTGTTAAGATCTGCCTGCACACAATAGTAACTAAGTATTTTAAAAAATAAAACACAAACTTCAAAATGAATTATAAAAAACATACCTCAAGTTGGGGAAGAAATGTCACCAACCGGTTTGTCAAATCTTGAAGCAGCTATAAATTATTAAAGTTAGATTAAAAAAAATTATACTGATAAATAGATACACAATCAATTTATATTTCCACCTGAAGATGAATGTCTTCTGCATCTTGTTTATGAGAAATGATTTGTGGCAATAGGTGATTAATAACTGGTTGAAATTCGGGTTCTAGACCAGTAACAGGAACACCAATCAGCTGCAAAGAAAGAAGATGTTTAACAAAAAAAAAAAAAAAAAAAAAAATTTGTTTCTAAATCATTTTTAAAATAAAATATTACCTGAATGAAGAAAATAGCTATGGGATTTCCCCTTAAACAAGATATCCTCACATATCTACATGCAGTGTAGTTCATGGGGTACATCATATCACGGCGGGGTGCTTCACACCGTGGCCTAACTTTTATAAAAGTCTCTGGCTGTAAAAAAAAAATGTGAAAGAGAAAAGAAAAATAGGAAATTAAACTAGAATGAAAAAAAAAAAAAAAAAAAAAGTCTTACCTTATATCGCAAGCCAACTGAAATTTCCCATTCCAATACGGATTTATTGTATATCCTTATGTGTGACAACAGGCAAGGCTCCTACATTTAAAAAACATGATTTAATAAAGTATAATCTATAAACATGGTATGGTTATAACTTATAACTTATAACAGATGTTTATTGAAGATGATGACAATGAAATTAACAAGAAAGAAGCTCCTTTTTGCTTAGTTTAATGTTTTCACAATAAAACAGCATGTATTATAATTTATAAGCAAGCTAACTTTTAAGTTTCTTCAACACGTTATGTGAATTCAATTGTATTAGGTTTATTAAGTAAATTAATAATTAATGAACCTTATTAAGAAATTCAATAATCACTAAAACAGTGTCTTTAAAACCTATGAGAGGTGGATTACAATTATGGTTACACTATCAATAATCCTTCTAACCAATATGGATTTAACATATCACCACAGGTCAAACTCACAAGAAAAGTCATATGATATTCTATTTAGTATTTACTTTTACTACATAACTACAGCCTAAGTAAGAACAGATGTTGTTTCCTTTCTGTTTGTTCCAAATATAGACAGGTCCCCCTCAACTTTGGCACTACAATTCGCCATGGATCTCCCAGTTTCCATTTTAATAAAGCAGGATTGCAGTAGCACACTTATTAACAATAACAAGAGTCAAAACTCGAATGTAATTGGGGAACAACAGCATATGTCTACTTAAAAGATCATCAAATTTCACGATTGCACTTCCTCATACCCTAAACCATGCGAATATAACAGTGCCCTATCATTAAGTGGCGCGCAACAAAACAAAACCTTAAATTGAACCCATAAGCAGCTCAAACAATTAGAATAAAAGAAGAAATAAAGCAGAGAAACTGTACATCGAGTTCAAGCAAAATCCATTCTTTAGTATTGGTAGCTGTGGACCAATGATTACGGAGGTCAATGTCAAGAACATGAGAAGCTTTCTGCGACGGCGATTCTCTGGAAATGCCCTTTACTTTGTAAGTTAGGGGTTTCACCCGTGGCTCTAATTCCACTTCATGCATCTCCAAATGAAAGCTTTCTAGATTCTACAAATCTCTCTTGTCCCTCTATAATTAATCCAATGGAGGGTTTTGAGCTTGCCGGAGTCGGAAAGACAAAGGTTTTACCGTGTGTGTTTTGTTTGTCAATCGACCGCTTCTTTATATATTCTTCGGAAAAACGGATTACAAAATCAGAAGAATTTTTTATTTCTGTACATTTATAAATTTTACTGAATATATGAAAAACATGTTTTTAATTATATATATATATATATATATATATATATATATATATATATATGTGGTGAGGTTCAATAAAAACCATAATTGACCAACGAACCAAGGAACCAATCTTTCTTTTCAATTTTTAGAACTTATTTTTTATCAAAAAAAAAAACTAAAAATACAGAAATTCATAACTTTTTATCTTTTTTCCAATGATATCAAATTCGATTTTTTTTTTTACGTCAAATTCACAATGTGAATCTTTGAAAATTCACAATGTGAATCCGGATTCGCACGGTGAATCCGAAAAATATTTTTCACATTCACAATGTTAATATATAAATTTAGATATTTTTAGATTTTTTTTTTCGATAAAGAATAAGCTCTAGAAATTGAAAAAAAGATTTGGTTCCTTGAAGAACCAATAATTATAGTTCTCTATTGAACTTTTCCATATATATATATATATATATATATATATATATATATATATATATATAACATATAAATGGAATCTTAATAATCAAAATCATTATTTTAATAACCAAAATTGGGCCTTCAGCTGAATATCAAGAAAACCGAGTTCTTTTGGCCCTCGTGTGATGGTAGGAAGTTACGTGAGGGGCTATTCTCGGTTGGCATCGGGAGGCCGCATTTGGGGGTGAAACTTCTTGGGGGAGCTGTTAGTAGAGATGTTAGTTTCATTCGCAGATTAGCCATAAAGAGAGTCGAAAACGCTGTGAATTTGATTCGCCTTCTTTCACAATTGTCTGACCCCAAAGTGAGCTCCTTCTACTTCGGTCTTGTATGGGTATTGCTAAGCTTTTCTTTGGGCTGAGGACGTGCCAACCCGTTCACATGGAAGAGGCGGCAATATTATTTGACAATGGGTTGCACGGGGCGATTGAGGACATTGTGGTTTGTGGTGGCCCTTTCTTTGACGACATACAGTGACGAATTGCTTCCTTACCCATTAGGTTTGGAGGTTTGGGTTTATACTCGGCAGTAGAGGCTACCTCATATGTTTTTGTTGCCTCAAGGGTCCAATCTTGGGTATTGCAAGACCATATCTTACGAGATAGCGGCATATATGGTATGAATTCTGATTATGATTGTGCTTTGGCATCTCTTTGTAACAAGCTTCCAGATTTTGTAACAAACTACCTCATATGCTTTTGTTGCCTCCAGATTTTGATCTTAACAGTTTTACTACTGGCGAGTGCCCTTTTTCATAAAATTGTCCAAGATATGGAAGTGCATCTCGATATGACGGCTCGGCAGAAAGCGGTTTTCCAGTGCTTACGTGCACCACATGCTTAAGATTTTCTTCTAGCTATCCCTATAGATGGGCTTTACCAACATATGTCTCCTGTGGAGTATCGTACTATCCTCAAATGTTGACTCATGATTCCCATATTCCCAGCTGACGAGATATGTCTGGTGTATCGCAAGGCATGTTTGGACTCTTTTGGACAGCATGCAGTTCGCTGTAAAGAACTCCCGGGGTTCAAATACAGGCACGATATGGTTAGGGATGTTTTGTTTGACATATTCATGCGTGTTGGGGTTTCCGCTAAGAAAGAGACACATGTTAATTTCTTGACTGGCCCGACAGACGGAAGGTCTACCCCCAGACCGGCTGACATTTTGATGTTTGGATGAGTCGGAGGGAAACACGTATGTGTGGACCTTACAGGGGGTATCCCCTCTCGTGGGCTTGAGGGCTGGGGGTTTCACGGCGGGACAGGCTGCTTTAAAAGCAGCTACAGGCAAAGTCACCAAATTAACATGAGAAATCGTGCATGGAAAATCAACACGTGTTCATACCATTTGCATTTGATACGTTTGGTTTCCTCGCGCCGGATACGGTAGAGCTTCTTAATAAAGTACAACGGATCATGCATAGTAATGTTATATCCCATAGATCTTCGGATTTAGTCTTTAAAAGAATTAGTTTTACCATACAAAAAGGCTTAGCGGTGGTTTGTTGCCCGTTTGCCATCTCACTCATTGTACGATGATAATTAAATGAACAATGAATGTAACAGAAAATTTATCTGAAAAAAAAAATATAAAATTATAAGATAACTATTTAAACAATGGCTTAAATATATATTTTTTGTAAGCTACAAATTAGTTAAAAGATAATTTTTTATTTATCTTATAAAACTATTAGTAAAGAAATTTATACAAAATCATGTGACAACAAAAATTGGTGTACATTACCTTATTAATAAATATCAAAATGGTCAAAAACTCAAAATGCTATCTACAAGACAGAACATAAACGATTCAACTTTTCATTAATTTATGTGTCTAAAACTAGGTTCATTATTGATGAATAGATAGTTTTGTAGATGTATCTAAAATTATGGGGGGAAGTTTGATCTTAGCATCGATCACATCTAAAACAAACCGGTTAGTTGTATTTCAGTCATAAACCAAATTATACTCTTTGATGGTAAAGTCGATATTTGTGAGGGAGAATAATTGAGAATCATAGAGGTATAATGAGGGTTCAAGTATCGTCCGAAACAAATGTAGAATTAAAAGTAGTTTAGGAGTATATTAGATTTTTTGTTTTTTTCAAAAAAAAAACAAACAAAAAAACTTTGTTTGACATCTTCTCATATGTATTTATAAACAAGGGTGTGGCAAAACGTACATTTGTATTGTAATACGATTCTAAAACATGAAGATCGACCAACGCGAATCGACGCTAATGAATTTTGGAAGGGGAATGGGTTCGACATGCCAGCATGGGCTTCAATCCATTTTTTGGCTTTGGTATAGTTTTGCATTCATACTAACTTAGATTCAGCCTTGCTTTGCTCGATCTTATATAGGTTTCGCCTAGCTTGGGTCCGACCTAACTTAGGTTCGGTCCAGCTTAGGGTCAACCTTGTTTCGTTAAACCTAGCTTAAGCCTTGTTAGGTGTAACCTAGCTTCGGCCTTACTTTGATCAACCTTGATGGGCTTGGGCTATATAGCTCGGGTCAGCCTCGTTTCGCTAAACCTTGTTGGGTTTGACCTAGCTTGGGTTCGTGTTTGCTTTGCTCGACCTTGATGGTTTTGAATTACTTTAGGTCCAGCTAGCTTGGGATCAGCCTTGTTTTGTTTAACTTGGCTTAGGTTCGGCCTTACTTGCTTGACTTTGGTTGGTTTAGCCTAGCTTGGATCCGAATGAGCTTAGGTCCGATCAAGCTTGAGGTCAACCTTGTTTTTTCTAAGCCTTATCGGGTTTGGCCTAGCTTGGATCTACCCATGCTTAGCTCGACCTTTATGGATTCTACGTTGCTTGGCTTGACCTTGCTTATTCAACCATATGTGTTGTTAGGTACGACCTTTGGCCTTGTTGGGTCCAACCAAGAGCAGTGGCTTGGTTTGGTCATGTCTCTCATTGATTATGAAACAAAAATATATTTATGATCTTCAAATTGAAATAGACTCATTCCATATTTTGCATAGGGTTTCATGATTGGTTAGGAGTCAACATTTTTAGAACGTGTGTAAGTCTTACACATGTACTCACTACCGTACTTCAATATCTGTCAAGTAAGATTTAAACCTTCAACCTCAATTAATCCACAAAATAAATGAACTAGATTGAAAAACATATTGAACCGGGTTATGTTTAAACATATGAATTCTATATGGTTTGGAATATTTGAAAAAATTTGTATCTTTTGTAGGTTTGTATTAGTAGTGTTATATATGATTACAAAGGTTATGTTATTACAACAATAATATAATTTTATAGATAAAATAATTTTAGATATACATATTAGAAATATATTTTGTATGTCTTTTAGTTAATCTTATAACTTTGCACGGTTGAACCGCTATAAATAAATTGATTCATTTATAAACACACTAATAAAATCTACTCATAGATTATTATGTGCTATTTAGTAGAGCAGGTATATTTGTTTAGACAACATGCATTTAATAATTATTTGAAAAATATTGTTTCAAATAACATAATTTAATATTTTTCTAAACTTTCTTCTAAAACAAAATTGTTATCATCACAATTGGATTCAATATATTAAAGAATAGAGGGAGTTGTTTAAATAATAATAATAATAATAATAATAATAATAATAAATCAATGTCACTCTAATATTATCATGCTATATTTAAGTTACCAAAATTGTTACAACTTCTATCTTTCGAAGACCCTATTGTGTCTTTTCATGAGATATTTGTGTATACACGCACAAAGTGAGCATCATGGTGTTTGTTTATACTTTATACTTTATATACATATATTATGAACACAAACTACTTAAAAATTATTGAGTGATTGCATATGCATACATGGTTCTAACATTATGTCATAAAACTCCCATATTTCATCAACTATTTTGCCCCAATTTCAAATTCGGATATTTACGATTTTCTATTCAAATTACAACTATGATCAACTCAATAATTGAACACATTTTTACTTTGATTATTTTACCAATCGAAAAGCAAGTGATCTAAACTTTTTTGAAAGGGTTAATGTCATATACCGGTCTCTAATAACTATAATTTGTTCTTTTAATCACTCATGTTGTAATTGCATTCATTAGGGTAACAAAATATTTGTAGTGTTTCTATTAAGCTATCGAACTAGATTTCAAACATCCAAACTGGTATCCAATCCTACATGGCATCCAATGTGGACACAAAATGTACAAATCTTGCCACGTAGGAATCGAACTCAATTTACCAGATTGAAATCTGTTTAACAGCAATACCAAAAATGGTTTGTTGCTCTATTAAATACAAATTAAAGATGAGTGATTAAAAGAACAAAGATCGATATAAAGGCAATTTTATGACATTAACCATTTTCTTTAATTTGAAGTGTTTTGTGCGTTCAAAGAGAGTTGTTTCTGTTGCAAAATGTAATGTTCAAAACAGG